TGGGTTCACTGCGATTCAAACCTCCCGTTCCTCTCACGGAATCCACTCATAGAGTGTCAGCCAATCGGTGGCCAAACCCTTGTCTCCAGAAAGACAACCACTTAGTGCTAAACAACTATAACTTCAGCGAAGACTGTCTTTACCTCAACATTTGGAGTGCCGGCGCTCTGCCCCTGAAGGGCAGCCCTAAGCCAGTGGTAGTGCACATACATACCGGTGCTCTCGTGTTCGGGTCGGCCTCTGAGACCACGTATAACGGCGTCGTATTGTCTGCGATGGGAGACCTCATTGTCGTCGCCTTCAACTATAGACTCAATTTGTATGGATTCCTATACACCGGCGCTCATAGTATTGCCCCAAACGCCGGAATGTATGACCAAATGCTGGCCCTTCAGTGGATCCGTCAACACATCCACCACTTCGGCGGCGATCCCTCGAGAGTCACACTAATAGGACAGTCGACTGGCGCCCAATCCGTGGGTTTCCACATATTGTCGCCAATCAGTAGTCAACTCTTCAATAACGCGGTTCTGATCAGCGGTTCCCCTCTCGAGCGCCGGTGGCTCTCAGCGCCAGATAATGCCAAACAGTTTTGGATGACTTATGCCAAAGATGTCGAGTGTTTGGGAACCGAAGTCTCTATTAATGCAAAAGTTGTGAACTGTTTGTTAAAACTCAATAGAAATCAATTGCTGTCTATGACTGACATCAAGCGCTATACTGTCGACCCTTTCGTAGTGTCAGCGCCGGTAGTGTTTGACCAGCAGTTCAATAGCGATCTGTCACTACAGGTGCCCACTAATGGCAATATATCGTTGCTGTTTGGATATACGGATGACGAGGGATCGTGGGGTTTGGCACTGGAGGACAGACACCGGTTCGGACCGACTGTCCCACAGAATATGACTTTCAATGAGACTCTCATTAAACTCAAAGAATTTGTTGAGAAAATCAAATCAAATACAGACAATCAAATCGATGGCAAGTATTTGCTGTAAAAGTATTTGTGTTTAAACTTATGGTTAAAAATATTTTCTAAACTAATCATACAATTAAGAGCTATATATTCACAACTATAACCTATCAATAAGTACTTACAGAATATTCTTTAGATTAATAGAAAATATATTCAATTTGTTATCATTTTCTAAAACTATTCATTATTTGATGACATATTTAGCCGAAAAGATCGCGAATTACTATATGAACGCAATTCCTGTGGACAGAAGGGGTGACCACAACCTCCTGAGTCGTACGATAGGCACAGCTTTAGGCGATTACTACATCTCGTGTCCGTCCCATCACTTCGCGGACTATGTGTTGAGAAATAGCCATAACTGCAGAGTATATCAGTATTACTGGACATATAAGGGCGACCCGAAGTCCAGTGCCTTTTGGCGCACCTTCGAGGAGGTCTGGTGTGGGAAATGGATGGGAAGCTGTCATTCATTTGAATTGTACGCCATTTTCGGCATACCTTTCCTTCAGTCGATTGCGTTCAACGAAATGGACAGAAGAATGTCTTCAAAGATCATTACAATTGTCTCACAGTTTGCGTACAATAAGTGAGAAATGGATTGCATTTTGAGTTAAAATTAATTGATTTTTGTGT